TCACAGCTCGCCTCCTGCCTCCATGGCACCTCAGCAGAAAGGAAAAGCCTCCCTTCCCCTTCATCTCCAGCAGTCCAAGCCCATCCTCCCTTTGGCTACATCTAGACTACAGGCTTTTGTCGACAGAAGTTTTGTTGACCGATACTGTCAACAAAGCTTCTGTTAACAAAGAGTGTCTAGACTACATCCGAGTGTAGACGCAAAAGACAGTGTAGATGCAATAACAGAACTCTGTCAACAAAAGGCGTCATTCCTCGTAGAATGAGGTTTACAGCCGTTGACAAAACTGCTGAGTTCTGTCAACGTTCTGTCGACAGAACTCAGTGGCAGTGTAGACGCAGGTATAGTTTTGTCGACAAAAGTCCACTTTTATCGACAAAACCATGTAGTCTAGACACACCCTTTTTTTGTGGCTAGCACCGTCTCTGAAAGCTGTCTGTTGCTTCTCTCACAGCTGCTCTCTCTGGGATTGGCCATTGGGTGGATCAGAGATGCAGACTTTTCTAACTGGCTCAGGGTAATATAAGCACCATCTCTCTGTCTGTGTATCCCTCTTTTTAAATAAGGAACTTTTTATTTATTCGCAGAGGGGACGTGAAGATGCAGAGCGTGTGGGGTGAAGTCAGCATGGTCTGGAGTTCCTGCCTTAATCCTGCCCTTTCAGGGGAGCAGTTATGGTGTCCTGAGTGAAAACTCCAATGGCTGGCAGCAGATATTGGTTCTGCTCCTGACCGTGTGTGTGTGACTTCAGGTTTATTTATGTCGCCTGAGCCTAGGGGCTGTGCCCCACTTTTCATTTAATCACACTAGAGAGGAGTTTGGTTCTTTCTTAGAGCCAGTGGGGGCTGCCTTGTGTGGGCAGTGATTGTGTCTCTGTGACGTGTCTGTTTGCAACAGGCTAAAGGGGTCAGTCTCCCTTTCTTACAGTGCGGGGGTTGAAGGATGCTGCTGCTGACAAAGGAAACCTGAAGAAAAGCCAATATGTGACTGTGGCTTCTGCAGGGCTCCAGCTCCCCCGAGCTTTGCTGAGCTCTGCAGCTCTCACCATGGAGATGTGAGAGGCCCCTGAGCACAACAGGACTTGGACCTTTGCAGACTATGCTCAGCTCGGTGTCTACCCTGAGGAAGCTCGGAAAGGGCCGGAAATGTGGGGAAAGTGGAAGGGAAAGCTCCCTCCCAGCAGGCAGTTGTCTTTCATGCCACAAGCATATTATTCCTTCACTGGTGTTCCCTGAGATGTCTCTGAGATCCTGGAGCCATAACTCCTCCTACTGGAGCTACAGACATTTCATGGCAGGCCAGCTGCCTACTGGGAGAAAGTTCTTTCATTTGCCTTCCTTCTCTCCCTCTTTTCACCTTCGAGGGCAAGGCGCATCTTCTCGAAGCAGGCCACTGCCTGATGGAGAATATGACGCCACTGAGGTCAGTTGGTGGCTTGCTCGTCCCAGTATGACATTTCCACATCAGTTTTCTTAAGATACACTTTCAGTGTGTCTTTGTAGCATTTCCTCTGACCAGCACAGGCTCTCAGGGCACTGGGCATAGAAGGGTTGATTTGGGGGGAGAGATTTGGGGGGAGTTCAGCCCTGCAAAGTTAGTGCCTGTGGACCATTGCTTCATTGCTGGTGTCAGGGGCTTCAGTGAGGCTGCTACTATAGCCCTAGCCTTTGTTTCTGGTGACAGGGAGGGATCACGTGACGATTACTTGTTGTGATCCCTCTCTCTGGGGCATCTGGCATTGGTCACTGTCGGCAGACAGGATACTGGGCTAGATGGACCTTTGCTCCTCACAGGATCCTTCTATCCCCAAGTCACTTTTACCCCACCTCAGGCACAGCAACCTGCTGGCCAACCTCACCATAAGGATCCTCTTCCTTATGACTTTCTGCAAGTGAAAGCTCATCTTCCCCTGGCCCAACAGAAGCCTCACCCTGCTGAGCCACCACCGACTCCTCCTGTGATCCCTCTATCCCCTGAACAGGCAGGTCTTCACACAACCCCCCTTCAGGAAAACACACAGACTCCTCTGGGGGGAGATCAGAGACGGATCCTGTGAGGAGCAAAGGAATTCCATAGCCATTGTGAGCAGGAGAGCCACACACAGCCAGGCCTATGTCTGTGTGGGAGAGAGTTCACAACCTAAACCCACAGGGCATGGGGGAGGGGCAAGACTTGTGTTTGCCCAGGAAGGTTGCAACTTTTTAAATCTAAAAAGCCAGAATTGTCATGGCTCCTTCCCCACTCTGGTATGATAAATGCAGAAGTGGGGGCCAGCAAGTGTATCCCAAAGCCTTATCTACCAGGCTTTGGTATAAAACTTCCCCCAAAATCTTAAAAAACCTAGATTTTGGGAATAAAACTTCCGCTGCCACCACCCAAATATTAATAACGAGATTAGGGAAAAGATCATTTGGGAAATCTCACCCATATTATAAAAATCAGGACACACAAGTAACCAACGCCAAATCAAATGGAAAGGTTACAAAATATACTCATGGAGGAATATAGTATAAACTAAAACTTAGTTAAAAAGAAAGGCCAAACATCTCTTAAGCATGCCAGATATCAGATCCCATACCCAACCCTTAAAACAATAAAGCCTAACGAAACTACCTAAACTTTACCCTCCTTATAGAAAATGAAGAATGGTGTCTTGGAGAAAGAGAGACATGCTTGTTGTCCCTCTCTGTAGCTGCAGAGAACCCACCCAGAGACAAAAGGAGAAAGGAAAAAACCCAAATTCCTTTATCCCAGTTTGAAAGTCCCACCTGCATTCCTACTGGTCACTCCACCTGGCTAGGTGTAGTTAACTCCTTAATCCCCAGGCTGCTGGCTAACCCTCATAATCATGACATACCCCCAGAGACATCTTTGGAGGTACCTCTCTGGGGCTACATCTACACTGCAGGGTTTTTGTGCAAGAAGTCTTTTGCGGAAGAGTTCTTGTGCAAAAACTTCTTGCACGAAAGTTTGTGCAGACCTAAAAGCTTTTGCGATGCACTTTTGCACAAGAGAACATCCACACTGCATGGACACCCTTGTGCAAAAAAGCTCTGATTGCTATGCACAGAATGGCCATCGGAGCACCGAATAGGCTCTTTTTGCGCAAGAAACCCCTGCGGAGCATCCACACTTGCCTTTTTGTGCAAGAGCTGTAGCGCAAAAAGGAGTTATGCCTTGTAGAAGGAGGTATACGTACACAGCAAAAAGCTCTCTGTTCTGTCGATTGACTCTAGATTTTCTTGTGCAAAAGCACATTTGAGGTGTGGACGCGCCACAGGTTTTTGCACAAAATCAGCCATTTTTGCACAAAAACATTGTAGTGTAGACGTAGCCTAAATGCTAGAGATTCTGTCAATAAGTCACTCAGGTTTCACATCCATAAAGGTGTGTAGGAACAGCAGTTGCCTTGTATAAACCTGTATATTGGTGTCCTGCAATAGGTGAAGGTCCACGAAAACACGTTGGAGCAAGCAGCCAAGCAGCCCAGAGGTTTAACTCTTCTGTGTACTCCAGAAAAAAACCTGGTTCTTCAGTAAAGTTCATTGGTAGAGACACATGGCCACATGCCCTCATGGAAGTGCTTTATACTAGCCATCAAAGAGGCTCTGCTGCATGGCTACGTCTAGACTGGCATGATTTTCCGGAAATGCTTTTAACGGAAAAGTTTTCCGTTAAAAGAATTTTCGGAAAAGCGTGTCTAGATTGGCATGGACGCTTTTCCGCAAAAGCACTTTTTGCGGAAAAGCGTCCGTGGCCAATCTAGACGCGCTTTTCCGCAAAAAAGCCCCGATCGCCATTTTCGCGATCAGGGCTTTTTTGCGGAAAACAAATCTGAGCTGTCTACACTGGCCCTTTTGCGCAAATGTTTTGCGCAAAAGGGACTTTTGCCCGAACAGGAGCAGCATAGTATTTCTGCAAAAAGCACTGATTTCTTACAGTAGGAAGTCAGTGCTTTTCTGGAAATTCAAGCGGCCAATGTAGACAGCTGGCAAGTTTTTCCGGAAAAGCGGCTGATTTTCCGGAAAAACTGGCCAGTCTAGCCACAGCCCATGTGTGTTGGTCTGTCTCATTTTGCATTCATTTCTAGAGATACGTCACAAATGATCCTGCTCTCATTTAATGGGCCTTTTGTTCGGTGGCTCCTGGATTATGAGTAGGGCCCTATGTACCTTGATACTAAAAGATGTTTTGAGGTGGACTGTTTAGATCCCAGGCAACACTCCCACCTCATACCCCTTACAAGACCTGCCTACAGATACCATCAGGAACTGTTTCAATAGCAGTAACAAGAACATTTGGACCCATGGCTATAATGACTGGGTAGATTGCTCAACAGAGAGATGAAGGTGAGACAATGAGGCTCAGGACTGGCCAGTGGCAAAGCTGAGGTGTAAATGTGTTTATTTGTAACCATGTGAGAGGCTGGATGAGAGCCTTGGGATACAGTGGGGGAGGTCTACGTTGGATATTAGGAAAAACTATTTCACTAGGAGGGTGGTGAAGCACTGGAATGGGTTCCGTAGGGAGGTGGTGGAATCTCCATCCCTAGAGGTTTTTAAGTCTTGCTTGACAAAGCCCTGGCTGGGTTGATTTAGTTGCCTTGGGCAGGGAGCTGGACGTGATGACCTCCTGAGGTCTCTTCCATCTCTGTGATTCTGTAATGCAGCCTGCAGGGATCTGGATAGCCCAGGACTCAGGTATCGGGGTCAGCACTGCTCTAGCGGTGCCCTCGGCCTGTTCATTCGGCAGGAAGTTACACTGAAAATATGAAAAAATAAAAGACATTATGAGACAATCGAGGTCGGTACAAACTCAACTGCTCTCAGCACTACAGGACTGCGTCTTGTGCAGGGCTGGGCCCATTCTCAGTGCATCCCATTGGGGCAGCTGTATCCTGACAATGTTTGTGGCTGAGGACAGTCTGGGCATTGTGCCCTTGCAGTCTGGCCAGCTCTGCCTGATTCCGTATGTGCTGGAGAGCTGAGCGCCTACAGAAAGAGTCCGGCCCACATGCGGAGCCTGCTGCATGAGTCCTCAGGATCCCACTCCCTCAGAATTCACAGGCACAGAGGTTCCCCATTGCCCTCTTGGCAGGGACCTCCAGCCCCCTCTCATGCCGCCTCCTCCTACTTGTCTCTCCACTCCCAACTCAGCTTCCTCCTTCCACCTGGCCCCTATATTGCATCAGGGCACAAAGGGGGCATCTGAAGGGACTGAGAGGCCATTGGATTTGAAATCTAATCAGGTCCAGGTTTAGCATCAGCTTGTCCCCAGAGTGTCCTAGCGTGAGGAGTGCCGGGGAAGCCAAGGACCCACATCCCTCACAGCTAAAGCAGCATGTTCTGACCTGGGCCTGCGCTTTGGTCAGTGCAGTGCTCTGTGTCTGTGCTCAGAGCTGTGATTCCCTCCCTGGGGCAGCACTGGCCTGTGCTCAGTAATACTCCTCCTTACTTGGCAAGTCCCTGGTAAAACACCCAGGTCTTTGTTCTCAGCTCGTCTGTGCCAGGTGTGTGAGTGTACAGGGGCCACGAGTCCTCTGTTCACCACACTGGCCACTGCTTCTCTGATACAGGGCCAGATACCAGAGTGGCTTTATGCAGCCCTGTTGACGGCTGCTGGCCTAGGTCTGGCATGAGAAGGGACAGGTGAGTTGAACGCCATTCCTTCCTACCCTGCACTGCAGGCAGATGGCTCCTTACGGGCCTCTCTCGCCTGTGAGGGGTCCACTCCTGTGCAGCTGACACCTGGGAGGCACAGACTCACTTCTGCCCCATCTCCTTCCCCCCATGAGCTGTGCTGATCTCAGATAACGCTCAGAACCCAGCTGAGCTGCGCAGTGACTGGAGACCTGCCACTTGAAGATGAGGGGCAGGAGAAAGATAAGGCCAGGCAGGGCTGTAATCAATTCCTGGCAACTCATTTAACCCATCCCCCAGTATTTAATTCTGCACCACTTATGAACTCTCAATCTGGAGAGAAAAACATACTTAAGAAGTTAACACAATCATCTCGGGTTGGGTCGGTCCAGCTGTACACTCTGCAGATGTGGTAGGAGCTTCCAGCTACAGCTCATAACAAAGCCAAAGCCAGCCAGCCCCTCTCACTCAGTGCCTGGCTTTCTCCAAGCTGTCTAGATGGGGTGACCACCTGTCATCTGGCGGAATTTCTACTATGAGCTCCCCAGGGATTTCTCTGTCTGTTGCCCTGTCCAAAAGCACCTCTCCACTATAGCTCTGTATCCTATGCCCAACCCCTGCCTAATCTGGAGTGAGCAGAGATTCACCCTAAATCTTACACTACATGCTGGCACGAGCTGCGTCATGTACCTTTCACTGGGTCCATGCAGCGCATGGCACAAGTGTTATAACAGCACTTCTGTTCCCCTTCGCAGTCAGAATCCCTCGCACACTCATCAGGTTCTGGCTGGACACAGACGGTGTAATTTGGTGGGCAGGTCCCAGGTTTCACTGTAACTGAAAAATGGCACCATGTGAACAAGCTGCCATTGGCTGATGGGTTTAGAGGTTGAGATACACTTGGCGTGTCGCCCGGTTGGTTACTAGCAATGTCATTCACTGCCCTCTGACCAGTGTTCCCTCTAAGATTTTCCAACCACAAACAGATTGAGTTTTGGCTTGTGCACTAATATTGAGCTCATGTGCGCAGGTTTGGACGTGTGCCACCGTGGCACCCAATTTATTAACACACACATGTTCCCAGCCACCGAATCAGATCCCACCCCCGTCATATGGCAGGCCCAGACCTCCCCACCATATGGCAGCTCCAACGACTAAAGCAGGCCTCCCATCACCCCACACGGCCACAGCAGGTCCCAACCTCCTGTCCCCGTGGCTTCCTCACCAGAACATCACTCCGAAGCTTTTCAAGCAGCAATTTTCTATGGGCACTGGACCTGTTTTCAGTGTTTCACGGGCCCATCGGCATCACATCCCCTCACTTCTTTAATATAGCAGATCGATTAATGGTTAATGAGAGCCAAGCTCTGCTAGTGACCTGAATTCTGAGCAGTCCCATGACAGGAGACCTGTCCCTCGGAGATGAGGGGACTGGAAAAAATGAGGCCAGGCAGGGTGGAAATCAGCCCCCAACGAACACATTTAACCTCAGTCCCTAGGTGGGAACCTGGGGAATTATTTAATTCTACGCCACATCTGAACTCCCATTCCACTGAGGGAAAAACAGGGGCATCCTTACAAAGTTGAAACAATCATCTCAGGAGTTGGGTCGGTCCAGCTGTACACTCTGCAGATGTGGTAGGAGCTTCCAACAGCTACTCAGAACCGTGCCCACCTCAGCCAACTCCCCTCACTCAGTGCCTGGCTCTCCCCAGTGCATCTGGACAGGGTGTCCTGCTGTCACCTGGTAAAATTCCTACTCTCAGCTCCCTAGAGAATTTTCTATTAGTTGAATCCTCCAAAGGCACCTCCCCAAGATGGCTCTGAATCCTACAGTCAATCCCTGGCTAATGTGAAGTGGGGAGAGTTGCCCTGAGACACTATGTTTTGTTACGAATTGCATCATGTACCTTCTTCTGGGTCTACACAGCGCATGGCACAATTGGAGTGACAGCATTTCTGTTCCCCTTCGCAGTCAGCATCCTTCTCGCACTGGTCAAGTTCCGCCTCAGTGCATATCAAACAATCTTCTGGGCAGGTCCCAGGTTTCACTGTAACTGAAAAATGCCACAGTGTGAACAACCTGCTGTTGGCTATGGAGATTAGTAGGGAGCATCCCAGCGCATGACACACGAGGCCCGGTGAAGCAGGACAGGACCCCACTATACTACACTGAGCCGCGGGCAGGTGCCTGCTCCGTCTGGATGGGACACCAGTTAACCGGTCTGACAAACGCTCTTAACTTGTTACCCATTTGCATCCCTACTCTGAATCCTCCAGTCCAGTGGTTCCCAGCCACATGTCTGTGGACCGGAGCTGGGCTTTGAACCACTGGCTGCCAGGCTGTGACATGCTGCCAGGCCACACCCATGTCTTGATGATTTGGTCAGCGGGACTCTGGAGTAAGGCCTAGTCTGCCCAGAAACCCCCCTTCTCCTCTCCCCAAGATTGTCTCTTCTCTCTGTGCCCAGCGTTGCATTGCCTTCTCTTCATGACTCTCTCTTGATGCAGGATGGTGCTCTAGCCCAGGGTTGGGTGTCCCTAGAGGCATGGGCTGCAGCGCGGTGGGTTGCTCGCTTGAACTCAGCAGCAGTGGGTACTGGGCTGGGCTTGGTCCCTGCAGCAGGAAACAACTTGCAGCTGTTGCTCGTGGTGACTCTGGGGCCAGGCTCTGGGCTGGATCCCTGAGTCCCAGCGGGGGCTGCTGCTGGGCCCCCAGAGCCCTGGACACTCCCCAGGAGCCTCTCCCAGGACAGTGCCCCCAGCCTGGCCCGCCCATCCCCTGCCGCAGGGCAGGCAGCACTTCAGGGCCAGGTAAGAGAGACCCCTTTCCCTCTGGGAGCGGTGCCCAGGGCTGCAGGAGAAGGCTTTCCCAGGCTGCTCCCAGAAGGGCTTGTTGCGATCCCTGCCCGGGGCCCAGGAAAGCTGCTGCCTGCTCCCAGTGTGTGTGGGGCAGGGGGAGCCAGCCCTGGGGGACATTGTACTTAGACTTTATTTAATGGGACTTCTGCCACTGCATCTTTTCACACATTTCTTTAAAGTTAACATCATAACTGGTCACGTTCAGATTCATGCGCGCATTCAAGCTACATGAGTAATTACGTGTTTTTAACATTTTGAATTAATTTACATTTTAATAAAAAAGTTGTATGCCTCTTGGGAAGGACAAGAGCCATATTTGGTTCCATACTGAGCCATATTTGGCTGGAGACCCTTACCCTATGTTGATCATTACTGACACCTACTGGTCAGCATGGAGGGCTGTCTTGCTTAGCCACGCATGCTGGTGCTTCCAATCTACAAAACGGGGGTGGGGGGCAGGACCATCCACCCACATCCTATCTGATGGAGGAGAACAGGGAAGGCACTGGGCCCATTTTGGATGTTTCACTGACCCATCAGCATCACATCACCTTGCTTTTCTCATACAGCTGACCATTTGAGGGTTAACCAAGAGCAGGGCACTGCTCCAGCTCTGAATTAAGACAAGTCCTGTGACTGGAGACCTGCCACTCAGAGATGAGGGGACTGGAGAGAGATGAGGCCAGTCACAGCTGGAGTCAGCCCCTGACAAACACATTTTGATAACCCCAGTCCACAGGTAACTGGGGAGATATTTAGTTTTACACCAGGCATGAACTCACATTCCAGTGAGAGAAACAAGGCGCAGTTGAAACAACCATCTCAGGCATTGGGTCATCAAGCTGTCCCTCTGCTGCTCTTCGAGGTGCTCCCAACTGCTGCTGCTAACAGTGCCCAACCCAGCCAGCTCCTCTCACTCAGTGCCTGGCTCTCCCCAAGGAGACTGGCAGGGGTCACCTGGTGCAATTCCCATTCTGAGCTCCCCAGGGAATTTTCTGTCTGTTGCACTCTCCAAAGGCACCTCACCAAGATGGCTCTGAATCCTACAGTCAACCCCTGGCTCATGTGAAGTGGGGAGAGAGTCGCTCTAACTGAGACACTACATGTTGTTACAAGCAACATCATGTACCTTCCTCTGGGTCCACGCAGCTCAAGGCACAATTGGAGTGACAGCACTTCTTTCCCCCTTCGCAGTCAGCATCCTTCGCGCACTGGTCAAGTTCTGCCTGAGTGCATATCAAGCAATCTTGTGGGCAGGTCCCAGGTTTCACTGTAACTGAAAAATGCCACAATGTGGACAACCTGCTTTCGGCTCAGGGGATTAGTGTTTTCTGCCGCCTGGAGATGAGGTGACTGGAGAAAGATGAGGCCAGACCGGGCTGGAGCGAGCCCCCAGCAAACACATTTAACTCCAATCCCCAAGTTGCTACCTGGGGGAATTATTTAAGTCTTCACCACCCATGAATTCCCATTTCAGAGAGAGAAACAAAGGTGCATCTTTTGAAGTTAAAACAATCATCTCAGTCCACCTGTATCTTGTGCTGCTCTGGGAGACCTTCCAACATCTCCTCATCACCTCAGCCTGCTCCTTTCATGCAGGGTCTGGCTCTCGCCAAGACCTGTGTGAGGAGTGTCCTGCTGTTGCTGGTGGAATTCCTACTCTGAGCTCCCCAGGGAATTATCTATTGGTTGAATCCTCCAAAGGCACCTCACCAAGATGGCTCTGAATCCTACAGTCAACCCCTGGCTCATGTGAAGTGGGGAGAGAGTCGCTCTAACTGAGACACTACATGTTGTTACAAGCAACATCATGTACCTTCCTCTGGGTCCACGCAGCTCAAGGCACAATTGGAGTGACAGCACTTCTTTCCCCCTTCGCAGTCAGCATCCTTCGCGCACTGGTCAAGTTCTGCCTGAGTGCATATCAAGCAATCTTGGTCAGCATGGAGGGCTGTCTTGCTTAGCCACGCATGCTGGTGCTTCCAATCTACAAAACGGGGGTGGGGGGCAGGACCATCCACCCACATCCTATCTGATGGAGGAGAACAGGGAAGGCACTGGGCCCATTTTGGATGTTTCACTGACCCATCAGCATCACATCACCTTGCTTTTCTCATACAGCTGACCATTTGAGGGTTAACTGGACACTCCCCAGGAGCCTCTCCCAGGACAGTGCCCCCAGCCTGGCCCGCCCATCCCCTGCCGCAGGGCAGGCAGCACTTCAGGGCCAGGTAAGAGAGACCCCTTTCCCTCTGGGAGCGGTGCCCAGGGCTGCAGGAGAAGGCTTTCCCAGGCTGCTCCCAGAAGGGCTTGTTGCGATCCCTGCCCGGGGCCCAGGAAAGCTGCTGCCTGCTCCCAGTGTGTGTGGGGCAGGGGGAGCCAGCCCTGGGGGACATTGTACTTAGACTTTATTTAATGGGACTTCTGCCACTGCATCTTTTCACACATTTCTTTAAAGTTAACATCATAACTGGTCACGTTCAGATTCATGCGCGCATTCAAGCTACATGAGTAATTACGTGTTTTTAACATTTTGAATTAATTTACATTTTAATAAAAAAGTTGTATGCCTCTTGGGAAGGACAAGAGCCATATTTGGTTCCATACTGAGCCATATTTGGCTGGAGACCCTTACCCTATGTTGATCATTACTGACACCTACTGGTCAGCATGGAGGGCTGTCTTGCTTAGCCACGCATGCTGGTGCTTCCAATCTACAAAACGGGGGTGGGGGGCAGGACCATCCACCCACATCCTATCTGATGGAGGAGAACAGGGAAGGCACTGGGCCCATTTTGGATGTTTCACTGACCCATCAGCATCACATCACCTTGCTTTTCTCATACAGCTGACCATTTGAGGGTTAACCAAGAGCAGGGCACTGCTCCAGCTCTGAATTAAGACAAGTCCTGTGACTGGAGACCTGCCACTCAGAGATGAGGGGACTGGAGAGAGATGAGGCCAGTCACAGCTGGAGTCAGCCCCTGACAAACACATTTTGATAACCCCAGTCCACAGGTAACTGGGGAGATATTTAGTTTTACACCAGGCATGAACTCACATTCCAGTGAGAGAAACAAGGCGCAGTTGAAACAACCATCTCAGGCATTGGGTCATCAAGCTGTCCCTCTGCTGCTCTTCGAGGTGCTCCCAACTGCTGCTGCTAACAGTGCCCAACCCAGCCAGCTCCTCTCACTCAGTGCCTGGCTCTCCCCAAGGTGACTGGCAGGGGTCACCTGGTGCAATTCCCATTCTGAGCTCCCCAGGGAATTTTCTGTCTGTTGCACTCTCCAAAGGCACCTCACCAAGATGGCTCTGAATCCTACAGTCAACCCCTGGCTCATGTGAAGTGGGGAGAGAGTCGCTCTAACTGAGACACTACATGTTGTTACAAGCAACATCATGTACCTTCCTCTGGGTCCACGCAGCTCAAGGCACAATTGGAGTGACAGCACTTCTTTCCCCCTTCGCAGTCAGCATCCTTCGCGCACTGGTCAAGTTCTGCCTGAGTGCATATCAAGCAATCTTGTGGGCAGGTCCCAGGTTTCACTGTAACTGGAAAATGCCACAGTGTGAACAACCTGCTCTTGGCTAAGGGGATTGGTGGTTGAAATCCCCCCGGGATGCCACCCAGGGGACTACTAGCAATGACATTCATTGCCCTGTGATGATCATAATTAACACTAGTGGTCAGCAAGGAGGGCTACTATGCTTAGCCCTGGATGCTGCTTCTTCAAGTCTGCAGCAGCAGAATGGAGGATCTATCAAACCACATTCTTTCTGATGGAGGAGAAAACAGAAGCAAGGTTGAAAGTGTTGGGAGGAGGATGCCAGTGATGCTGTTGAAGAACTGGGTCTGAACACCCTGATCTGTGCCAGCTGGAATCTAAGTGCTCTCCAGGGTAGAGTTGTGGGGAAGGTAGACATGCCTGTGGGCCTGCAGGCACTTTGTCCTTCCATTGTCCATTCCATAATCCGCTTTATGTGTCTGTCCAGACCATCCTCTGCAAGGAGAATGAAATCCCAAACCCCTGCCATTCTGGAAGGGGAATTCTTAGAACACTTGACAGCAGCTTCCACTCTTCGGGCTTCGATGCACCAGCCTCATATTGGCATCATCCTGAAGCAATTTCCCATGGACACTGGACCCATTTCTGGATTTTCACAAAACCAGCAGCATCACATCACCTTACCTTTTTAATACAGAGGAGCATTTAAGGGTTAATGGAGAGCCAGGCTCTGCTGGACTCCTAATTCTGAGACCTGTAACTGGACACCTGCCACTTGAAGATGAAGGGACTGGAGAAAAATGGGACCAGGCAGGGCAGTTTCAGAAGGAGCTTCCAACTGCTGCTCATAACAGTGACCACCCAGCCAGCTCCTATCACTCAGTGCCTGGCCTCACCAAGGTCTCTGCATTGGGTGACCAGCAGTCACCTGGTGGAATTCCTCCTCTGAATTCCCCGGGTATTTTACTGTCCACTGAATTGATGAAAGGAACCTCACCAAGATGGCTCTGAATCAAGGATGTACGAAATATAGAAAAATCTTAACCGTCTAACCGTGCGGCTCAGTTGCTGGCACCTGGCCCTGCAGGGCTGCTGGCCCTGGATCCCTTTTGGATGTTTCACTGACCCATCAGCATCACATCACCTTGCTTTTCTCATACAGCTGACCATTTGAGGGTTAACCAAGAGCAGGGCACTGCTCCAGCTCTGAATTAAGACAAGTCCTGTGACTGGAGACCTGCCGCTCAGAGATGAGGGGACTTGAGAGAGATGAGGCCAGTCACAGCTGGAGTCAGCCCCTGACAAACACATTTTGATAACCCCAGTCCACAGGTAACTGGGGAGATATTTAGTTTTACACCAGGCATGAACTCACATTCCAGTGAGAGAAACAAGGCGCAGTTGAAACAACCATCTCAGGCATTGGGTCATCAAGCTGTCCCTCTGCTGCTCTTCGAGGTGCTCCCAACTGCTGCTGCTAACAGTGCCCAACCCAGCCAGCTCCTCTCACTCAGTGCCTGGCTCTCCCCAAGGTGACTGGCAGGGGTCACCTGGTGCAATTCCCATTCTGAGCTCCCCAGGGAATTTTCTGTCTGTTGCACTCTCCAAAGGCACCTCACCAAGATGGCTCTGAAGCCCTTGAGAAACCCCGGCCTCATCTGGAGGGGGAGAGATTCGCCCTAAATCGACACTACGTGCTAACACACACTGCGTCACGCACCTTCTGCTGGGTCCACGCAGCGCATGGCACAACGGGCGTGACAGCACTTCTTTTCCCCGTCACAGTCGGAATCACTGTCACACTCACTGGGTTCTTCAACAAGGCATCTCATGTTATCTGGAGGGCAGGTCCCAGGTTTCACTGTAACTGAAAAATGCCACAATGTGGACAACCTGCTTTCGGCTCAGGGGATTAGTGTTTTCTGCCGCCTGAAGATGAGGTGACTGGAGAAAGATGAGGCCAGACCGGGCTGGAGCGAGCCCCCAGCAAACACATTTAACTCCAATCCCCAAGTTGGTACCTGGAGGAACTATTTAAGTCTACAACACTGCATCCTTTGAGCTTATAATGAGCATCCCTAGGGTTGAGTTGGTCCAACTGTACCCACTGCTACTACAGGAGGAGCTTCCAACTGCTGCTCATAACAATGCCCAACTCAGCCAGCTCCTCTCACTCAGTGACTGGCTCTCACCAAGACCTCTGAGGCTACATCTAGACTAAAACCTCTTTCGAAAGAGAGTGTCTAGACAGCAACCATTATTTTCAAAAATGGGAGCCGCTTTTTCGAAAGAGCGAACCCAGGCTCGGGCAGTCTGGATGGTCTCTTTCGAAAAAGCACTGTTTGCATTCAATAACACTTTCAAAAAAAGGTGTTATTGCTTGTAAAAGGAGCTATTCCGACGTCAAAAAAACTGCCGCGTTCTTTCGATGTAATTTCAAAAGAACGTGGCATCGTCTAGATGCAGGAGAAGCTTTATTGAAAAAAGGAAACTTTTTTTGAAAAAAACCAATAGTCTAGACACACCCTGAATGTTGTGACCAGGTGTCACCTGGTGGAATTCCTACTCTGAGCTCCTCAGACATTTTTCTGTCTGTTGAAATGTCCAAGGGAACCTCACCAAGATGGCTCTGAATTAGGGATGTAGACATATCTTAACAGTCTAACTGCGGGATTCAGCTGCTGGCTCCGGACTCCACAGGGTTGCTGGCTCCGGACCGCAGCGTGGTGCTGTGGGTCCATCTAGTCTGGAGCGTCCCAGCCCATGGCACAAGGGGCCCGGTCATGCCGGGCAGGACCAGCTGTACCGCACTGTGGGTGGAGGGGCTGCTCCATGCAGGTGGGGTACCAGTTAAACTGTCTAACAAACACTCTTAGCTGGTTACCCATTTGCATCCCTTCTCTGAATGCTCCAGTCAACCCCGGCTCATCTGGAGTGGGGGGAGGAGAGATTCACCCGAAATGAAAACACAACATGCTCTGGCACGAGCTGTGTCCTGTACCTTCTACGGGGTCCACGCAGCGCATGGCACAAGAGGAATGACAGCACTTCTGATCTCCTTCGCAGTCGCAATCCCTCGCACACTCGTCAGGTTCTGCCCGGATGCATCTTATGTTATCTGGTGGGCAGGTCCCAGGTTTGACTGTAACTGAAAAATGCCACAATGTGAACAACCTGCTTTAAGATCAGGGGACTAGTGGTTGAGATCCACCCGGCATGTCACCAGGTAGGCTGCTGGTAATGTCATTCACTGCCCAATCCTGATCATTACTGACACCTACTGGTCAGCATGGAGGGCTGTCTTGCTTAGTCATGGATGCTGGTGCTTCCAGTCTCCAAAGGGGGAGGCAGGGCCTCCTATCTGATGGAGGAGAACTGGGAAGTCACTGGGCCACTTTTGGAAGTTCCACCGACCCTTCAGTACCACATCGCCTTGCTTTTTTCCTACAGCTGAAGATTTGAGGGTTAACCGAGAGCAAGGCACTGCTGCAGCCCTGAATTAAGAGAAATCCTTTGACTGGAGACCTGCCGCTCAGAGATGAGGGGATTGGAGAGAGATGAGGCCAATCATGGCTGGAGTCAGCCCCTGACAAACACATTTAACCCCAGTCCACAGGTAACTGGAGGAGATATTTAGTGTTCCACCCTGCATGAACTCACCTTCCAGAGAGAGACACAAGGTACATCCCTAGCAAGAGATGTAAAAAATATAGAAAAATATTAACCCTCTAACCACAGGGCTCAGCTGCTGGCTGCTTGCTCCTGGCCCCGTGGGGTTTCTGGCAATTGGAAGCTCCTCAAAGAGCATCCTTTACACATGTGAGCCGCTGTCACCTGGTAGAATTCCTACTCTGAGCTCCACAGGCATTTTTCTGTCTGCTGACCTCCCCAAAAGGTGCCTGCTCAAGATGGCTCTGAATCCTTCTGCTGATCTGTAGTGGGGAAAGTTTGACCTTAAGTGAGATATTACATGCTGGGACAATCTGAGTCATGTATCTTCTACTGGGTCCACACAGTGCTTGGCACAACTGGTGAAACAGCACTTCTGTTGTCCTTCACACGCACAATCGAAATCACACTCCTCAGGTTCTGCCCGTATGCATCTTGGCTGTGTCTAGACTGGCAACATTTTCCGCAAAATCATCTGTTTTTGCGGAAAAACTTGCCAGCTGTCTACACTGGCCGCTTGAATTTCCGCAAAAACACTGACGATCTCATGTAAGATTGTTAGTGCTTTTGCGGAAATACTATGCTGCTCCCGTTCGGGCAAAAGTCTTTTTCCGAAAAACATTTCCACAGAAGGGCCAGTGTAGACAAGAAAGATTTGTTTTTCCGCAAAAAGCCCCGATCGTGAGAATGGCGATCGGGGCTTTTTTGTGGAAAAGCGCATCTAGATTGGCCATGGACACTTTTCCGAAAATGCTTTTAACAGAAAACTTTTCCATTAAAAGCATTTCCGGAAAATCATGCCAGTATAGTCGTAGCCTTTGTGTATCAAAAGTACAAAGGACTCCATAGATAGCAAAATGTGTAATGAACTATGCAAAATATGTAAATATGGCTTAATCTGTGACCGAAATTGCTCGGAATTAAATGCATCTTTAAACAGGAATGAACTTGATATACTGTTCAGAAAATGAAAGAAATACAGCACAGCTATTCGAAGCAAACATCTGTTCAAACATAATTTTCCTGCTTATTGAGGTTTTTACTGTGTTGAAGGAAAAGTCTCAAAGAGGCTGAACAAGTCAATCATTATATACCTTGTTACAGTGACATCCCCCTGTGTATTGTTTAACGGGAAACAAAACACAAATATACAAAACCCCTGCTACCGGTGCCCACCCCAGCCAGCTCCTCTCACTCAGTGCCTGGCTCTCCCCAAGGTGACTGGCAGGGGTCACCTGGTGCAATTCCCATTCTGAGCTCCCCAGGGAATTTTCTGTCTGTTGCACTCTCCAAAGGCACCTCACCAAGATGGCTCTGAAGCCCTTGAGAAACCCCGGCCTCATCTGGAGGGGGAGAGATTCGCCCTAAATCGACACTACGTGCTAACACACACTGCGTCACGCACCTTCTGCTGGGTCCACGCAGCGCATGGCACAACGGGCGTGACAGCACTTCTTTTCCCCGTCACAGTCGGAATCACTGTCACACTCACTGGGTTCTTCAACAAGGCATCTCATGTTATCTGGAGGGCAGGTCCCAGGTTTCACTGTAACTGAAAAATGCCACAATGTGGACAACCTGCTTTCGGCTCAGGGGATTAGTGTTTTCTGCCGCCTGGAGATGAGGTGACTGGAGAAAGATGAGGCCAGACCGGGCTGGAGCGAGCCCCCAGCAAACTGAAAAATGCCACAATGTGAACAACCTGCTTTAAGATCAGGGGACTAGTGGTTGAGATCCACCCGGCATGTCACCAGGTAGGCTGCTGGTAATGTCATTCACTGCCCAATCCTGATCATTACTGACACCTACTGGTCAGCATGGAGGGCTGTCTTGCTTAGTCATGGATGCTGGTGCTTCCAGTCTCCAAAGGGGGAGGCAGGGCCTCCTATCTGATGGAGGAGAACTGGGAAGTCACTGGGCCACTTTTGGAAGTTCCACCGACCCTTCAGTACCACATCGCCTTGCTTTTTTCCTACAGCTGAAGATTTGAGGGTTAACCGAGAGCAAGGCACTGCTGCAGCCCTGAATTAAGAGAAATCCTTTGACTGGAGACCTGCCGCTCAGAGATGAGGGGATTGGAGAGAGATGAGGCCAATCATGGCTGGAGTCAGCCCCTGACAAACACATTTAACCCCAGTCCACAGGTAACTGGAGGAGATATTTAGTGTTCCACCCTGCATGAACTCACCTTCCAGAGAGAGACACAAGGTACATCCCTAGCAAGAGATGTAAAAAATATAGAAAAATATTAACCCTCTAACCACAGGGCTCAGCTGCTGGCTGCTTGCTCCTGGCCCCGTGGGGTTTCTGGCAATTGGAAGCTCCTCAAAGAGCATCCTTTACACATGTGAGCCGCTGTCACCTGGTAGAATTCCTACTCTGAGCTCCACAGGCATTTTTCTGTCTGCTGACCTCCCCAAAAGGTGCCTGCTCAAGATGGCTCTGAATCCTTCTGCTGATCTGTAGTGGGGAAAGTTTGACCTTAAGTGAGATATTACATGCTGGGACAATCTGAGTCATGTATCTTCTACTGGGTCCACACAGTGCTTGGCACAACTGGTGAAACAGCACTTCTGTTGTCCTTCACACGCACAATCGAAATCACACTCCTCAGGTTCTGCCCGTATGCATCTTGGCTGTGTCTAGACTGGCAACATTTTCCGCAAAATCATCTGTTTTTGCGGAAAAACTTGCCAGCTGTCTACACTGGCCGCTTGAATTTCCGCAAAAACACTGACGATCTCATGTAAGATTGTTAGTGCTTTTGCGGAAATACTATGCTGCTCCCGTTCGGGCAAAAGTCTTTTTCCGAAAAACATTTCCACAGAAGGGCCAGTGTAGACAAGAAAGATTTGTTTTTCCGCAAAAAGCCCCGATCGTGAGAATGGCGATCGGGGCTTTTTTGTGGAAAAGCGCATCTAGATTGGCCATGGATGCTTTTCCGCAAAAAAGTGCTTTTGTGGAAAAGTGTCCTGCCAATCTAGATGCGCTTTTCCGAAAATGCTTTTAACGGATAACGTTTCCGTTAAAAGCATTTCCGGAAAATCATGCCAGTGTAGACGTAGCCCTTATGTTTGCTGGCGGGCAGGTCCCAGGTTTCACTTTAACAGAAAACAGTCACATTATGAACAACTTCCTATTGCACTGTTGGGCAACCTGCAGTGCATGGGACATATGCGGCCCATCAGTGTTACATATGCAATCCACAAGACATGTTGTTTGCCACTGTCCATACACAAGGTTGTCAGATTCCAGTGGTTTCTGTCTGTATTGTTGTTTTTAGTGTTACTAAGGTGACACACACGTACATCAAGTGCATGGGAAGTGAGGTGCATGCTGGCTGCACACAGCATTGATTCTGAGAACTGTGCACTCCCTCTGCAGCCAATCCAAGAGCTGCTACAGTTCAATCGGCACCCCTTGCAAATTCTAGGTACTCAAGCACAGTTACCTAAAATCCCCTATTCTGGGAGACTGTCTTGGTTACAACAGCCTTAGGGGCCATTGAGATGAAAGATGGCCTCCTATGTGGCCCACTCACTAACCTAGGTTGCCCATCACTGTCCTGTTGCCAGAGGAGATTGTTGATTGAATTCCCACGTATCACCCAGCAGGCTAGCGGCAATGCCATTCACTGCCCTGTCAGGATCATCATTCAGGACTCGAACAACAGCTACTAGTCAGGATACAGGGCTATACCGCCTAGCTCTGGATGGTGCTGCTTCCACTCTTCAAGAGCTGGAAGGAGAGCCACTGTGACTCTGGTCCCTTGTGGTGGATGGAGGAGAAAACGGAGGAATGTAAGCGCTCTACACTCTAAAATTTCAATCACTCACTAGCTGTCCACCAGGCACTGGACACAATCTGAGATCCCGGTCTCTATGTGCAAGGCTCTTGATGGACCAGGCGCCCACAATTACCATCTCTCCTTCCATAATCTAAAATTCACATGTAAGCTGCAATCAATCCTCAGGGATGATTTTCAGCACTAAAGCTGAGACTAGTAACAGTGGGGAAGAGAGAATTTTCAGTGGCCTGCTCATTGCAGCAGATCTCCTCCCACAAAAGCTCATTCACAGTTTCAGTCCCTACTGCTGCCATTACTGGTGTATGATTCACACATTTGACCTGGGGTGTTTCCCATTGAAAAACAAAAGATACCTCTCAGCCCAAACTGTAGGATCTCCGTCTGTATGTAGGACATCTGTTTGGACTTATATGTGTAAGCAGGCTTGGAGGATTAGTATTTTACTGTTAAAATGTTGGAAAATGTTGATTTCACTGTACACTGAAACCAACAAAAATATTTTCATCAATAATAATCCAAATTTACAGATGGGCAAAATAAAAAAATTGAGAGCTTGAAAGCAGATTAGTTTGATTTCAGGATATTTCTTTTGGATATTTTGACACGTGATATTAACTTGTGTTTTAACTTTTTGAATCTCAATGTGTACTGTCACTAAGTAATTATTGGCTAACTGTCCTCCCCCTTAATTTTCCTTAACTGTGAAAATGTAAATAGATAAAAACTGGAAAAAAATAAAGCCACGTTATCCATCAAAAATAGAAATTGAATTCTGCTAACTCCATTTATTGCATGCTCAGATATGACAGTCAGGAGAACAGTATGACTATCACTCTAGATACATATCCAAAGCTTTTATATAGTGCTCTTGTCATGGTATCTTAACATTGTTAGATAAAGAGATAGAGGAGACAGATGGGGTTAAGAGTAGATTAGATAAATGTCTATTAGGGATGGTCTAGACCATATTTGGTCCTGCCATGGGGGCAAGGGACTGGACTCGATGACCTCTCGAGGTCTCTTCCAGTCCTAGTATTCTATGGTTCTATGATTCTATGAAAGATTTCTGGGAGAACTTTTTCAGTAAAAAAAAAAAAAAGGGAGCTGTGCCCCTTGCTTGCTATGCTCACCAACTCCCCTCTCTCTGGGGGTAGGCAGCCCCAGCTCTCCACCCCACCAGTCACCAGAGAGGGCCAGGCCAAGGCCGCACCAGCCTTGACCCCTCCCTCGGCCACCGGGGAGGCCCGGCTGGGAACACAGTGCAGCAGCCCCAGTTCTCCATATGGCCGCTGGGGAGGGCCAGGCTGGGAGAGGGTGGGGCTTGACTCCTGTGGATGCAGATGGTGTGATGATGTCATTCTGTTGTCCCACAGGAAAAAAAAATAATATGGAGAAATAATTTCTCCCCTTACTCACTGTAAAACTGAGGTTAGGGAGAGAAATGAGACTAGGCAAAGATGGTCAGCCCATGGACACATTGAATTCCAGGCTCTTGGTACCAGGGGAGTTCCTTAGACACCATCCACCCCTGTTGATTTAGACTAAATGCCACAGAACTGGGAGTTTTCATATGTGCCCCCCTGGATTGACTTTCACGCAGGGGTCACAGCAAAGACAAAGGGCTGCTCCTTTCTTTGGTCTAGAAAGGAATTTGGAACCAAGAATGTTTGGGTGCTGCCATCAAAGGGTTAAAAATCTGGCCTTAGGTTTGATTGGCAGATCAGGCCTCACTCCTTTGGGCAAAACGGCTGCAACTAAAGCAAAGTGTTGCCCTACAAAATGCCAAATAGGACATTGTCCACTGCTGCCCTGCACGGGTCACACGGAGCAGGGATCCCTGCTGAGTCCCTGCTCTCTGCCCTCCTGTGGGATCCCAGCCTGCTGCCCTCTGCCCCAGGCCTCCCTGGGGATAGCCAACCTGGGCACTAACCTTGCTTTTGCTGAGAAGCGGCCAGCGGTTCCATCCAAAGGGCGAGGAGCCCCATGAGGATGAGGGCGCCCGATGACTTCATTATGCTGTCCAAGAGCTGGGACTAAGTGCCATTAGCTGGGCCATCTGGGATTTAAATACTCCCATCAGTGAGGCTTGGCAGGAAGTGGAAGATGCTTGGGAGTCTGCCAGCATTCCTTTTGTCCATTTCACAATCAGGTTCACATGCCGGCCCAACCATTCTTGGGAAGGGATGAAATGACCTGCCATGCTGCAAGGAGTGTGTTTACATGATTCAGCAGCAGCCTGGGACATCCTATGGTCCATCTGGTCCCTCAGGTTGTAGTTTCCACCCTCTCCTACATTCTTCTCTGCCTTCATGTGTTTGGCCTCTGTCTAGTAAGAGTTGGGCTTAGTTGCTTGGTTTATTGGACTCAATCTAGCCATGGGTATCAGAGACATCAGCTGCATGTTCCTCTCCTTTGCTTTGCCTGGGATCTTGGCACCCAGAAGGCAGAAGTGAACCAGGAAGCTGAGAGGCCCACTGGTAACTCACCCTCCATCTTTCGCAACAAGGGCATCTGGTGCCCTTTCAAAGACTTTCTGGTGCCCTTTCAAAGACTTTCTAGCAGAGATTTTTCCTTTAAAACACTATGCAAATCTCTTAAGCAACAGATCTATGACAAGCACAATCCAACCCTTGGTCCTGGACCCCCCCCAAATCCCAGATGGTGCTAATGATTTTTCAGGAAAAAAAAACAGTCTGCCTTATAAATTCTACCCTGCCAGTTCCTCCCCATCAGGCAAAAACCAGCAATTGTGCAAACATTGGAGAAAGGGGAATATCTGTTGGGCCCAGAATCACATGCTGCTAGTGAATCAATAGAGGAAGACACAAGATTGACCCAGGAGTTAGAAAAATCAGAGCAGGTGAAGGAATAAGAGGATTTTTAAGAAAACCAGACAGTCTAGGTAAAGCTTGTTTAAGGCACCAGGGACCGAAATAGGAGAGAAAACCCAGCCTCACAACAATTTTGCTCCTCCACCCCATCCATACCTTCCCAGGCAGTGAAAGCCAGAGGGGAAAGGCCCATTTCCACATCCCAGACCCCACCGACACACAAGCTGCCCCTCCCCCAGACCCAGAATAGAAAGAACCAGAGCCCAGGTTGTCCTGTCATTCACCAGCTGTAGTTGTGGGAAATGATTTCCTGCAGCCGGCGGTGCCAGTGGCCTGGAGAGTCTGGGCTGCAGGCAGGCGGTGCCAGTGCTTCTCCTGGGGACTCCTTCAGCCTGACACTGAAGCAGGAACTTAACCCAGGAAAGGGAAAAATGGTCAGAGCCTCAGAGGAAATGCTACTCTGTGCACCCCCAGTGTGACCGTTAGGCAGGTGCGGCCTGACCACTGGAACAGGCCCTGTCCAGCTGCTGTTGCCATGACAGCGCTGGACTGGCCTGCATTACAGGGGCTTTCTACTGCAAGCTGTGCAGGACGGGACAGACACCACCTTTGCCTTGGGCAGGGCAGGGCAGGGCAGAGCACAGCGCTGGCTGCTGACGCGGGGTACCAGGCACAGAACTGCCAGTTCCAAAGCACCCAGCCACCCCCAGAGTCCCTGGTGGGATGTGGGATGTGGGGAGGGAACTCTCAGGAGGCAGAGAAATATGAGGGGCGAGAAGGAGGCTGGAAGGACATAGGAGAAGACTGAGGAGGGGGGAACGTTGGTACAGAGTTTCAACAATTTGCCTCACCCTTCCTTAGGTCTCAGATTGTTACTGCCTCTTTGCTGGTGTCACCTGGCTCTTTCGGCCATGGAGCGTTCAAACACCTTCCAGAGACCAGGCACTAAATTCCAGCGCCTGGTGCCAATGTGGGTTGCAGGCAGGGGCTCTGGAGCTTCCTCGCTGGACGCAGCTGGGCCACCTGGTAAGCGGGGGGATCCAGTAACTGATCTCCCAACCCCATAAGCAGAAGATGAGAGATTAAGTAAGAAATGAGCTCAGGCAGCACTGGGCTCAGGGCCCTGGGTACCTTTAGTCCCAGCTTTGTGTTACCCAGAAGCAAGTTATTTGCACACAGCCCACCAACCCCAGTGCCTCCGTGGCAGGCAGTTGTGGGGAGGAAATTAACACCTGATGCTGGACCTGCTGCTGCTGCTGGAGAGCGTCTAACTGTGCACAGCCCCACACCCAGTCCCCTCCATTACATCCATGGCAGCACTGGGCAGATCTCGGTACTTGGAACCCAGTGAATGGACCATTTCAGGCACAGCACCAGCTTGTCCGTGGTATCCCAGTGTGACAGTGGCTGGGGAAACTGGGAAAGGAACATGCCAGGTATCCAGGCTGGTCTTTGGTAAACTGAAATGTTAGTCCCCTAGGGTGCATCTACACAGCAGCCTTATTTCGGAGTAACTGATGTTATTCTGAAATAACAGAGTGTGCGTTTACACAATAAGCCTTTATTTCAAAACAATGTCGAGCTGGAGGACTTTTTACTCCGACTCGTGGTAACCCTCATTTCACGAGGAGTAAGGGACATCGAAGGGAGAGTGCTCTTCCTTCGACTTCCCAGTGTGTAGGCAGTGCCAAAAGCCGAGTTCAGCTATTTCGACTTAAGCTACGCAATTGACATCGCTGAAGTTGCGAAGCTTAATTCGACTTTAGCCCTGCCGTGTAGACATACCCTAGTCAGCAGCTCTGCTCAGCGGGGAGGGATAGTTCAGACTTGTGAGTTCAATCCTTGAGGGGGCTATTTAGGGATCTGGGGCAAATCTGTCAGGGATGGTACTTGGTCCTGCCATGAGAGCAGGGGACTGGACTTAATGACCTCCCAAGGCCCCTTCCAGTTCTATGAGATCGATAGATAGATAGATAGCCCAGGGCTGTAACATGAGTTGGTATTTAAAAGTATCGTTGGTAGTATTCCATGTTTATTTTTATTTATATATTTAGATTGATAATATCTGTGTTTACTTTTAAGAATTTTTTCTGTTTTTATCCATCTACCTTTTTGCAGTTGTGGGAAATGATGGGGAATTCAGACAAAGAGGGAGTCGTGGCATAATTATTTAAAAGTCATAAATGAGCTTCTGAAAGTTAAAGCTTTGGAATGGTTAAAACACAGATTGTTCACATCAGAACTCAAAACAATCTCTAATTAGTTTTCAATTTTCTTACTTTGACCATTTGTAAATTTTGATTTGTATGTGTGCGGCGACATTGACATTTGCCCACATTTACCAGTATAAATTTACCAATATAAATCTAATCCTTCCAAGCTTAATTACAAGCTGGTGTCTCACATGCGGGCGTGTAAGTGCCATGTAGTGGCATTTAATTAACTAAGATGAGTACAGGAATTTGCATGCTTGTCTCGCTACAAGTTCTCCCCACTAAACACAGTCCAGTGGAAGGTGTTAATGTTCTAAGCCTATACTGCAGAGCGGGTTTGAAATATTCCAGCAAAACATTTGTTGTGTGAATGTGCCAGTTCATTGAACCTGAAACACTTTGTAGGGTTGGTTTGATTTCAATGCAGGTTTCAAAAGCTGAGTTGCCGGGGCGGGGGGAGGTGGCGTGGCTCTGCAGCAGCTCACCAGACCACATGCCCGGGCACTGGACCCCATACCAGAGAATTCCGCAATTTGCTTTTCAATCCAAATCAGAGTGAAACCAGATTTTGAGCTATCAAAATCCTCTGTGAAATGGACATACCTCTGGCTGTTGGAATAGCCCATCAGAGCCCTGCAAAGCCAGGCTGGAGTCTGAAAAATAAATTCAATATATTATGTAAGGTACTCAAACTTTTATAGCAGAGCAGCACCAATATAATTAAGGTTGCATCCCGTCTGCTTAAAAGTCGACCTTTCTCAATCAGACAGCGCTTAGTCCATTTCCTCTGAAATTCAGTGTGTTCCAGAGTAGGGTTAGTGATCCAAATTTGGAACCATTTAAGACCGGAATAGGGGTGATGTCATCCCTGAAAAAACAGCCAGTTTCCAAACCATTTCTGTGTGGTGGTGGTGGTGATGTGTTTTGTGCAGCCCTGGAGATCAAAATGGTGTTATGATGTGGGTCACAATGATCTCAGGCTGGGGACATTTACCTGAGGTAATGCATTGACATCCACTGTATCGTGGGGGGCTCCAAATTGAGAATGATATTTCAGAACAGTGTTTTTTACAGTGCGCATGCACCAATACCTAACAAAAGGCTAGAGGTGCCATTTTATTTGCTTTAAAGCAGGAGTAGGGAACCTTTTTTGGGTCAGGGGGCCACTGACCCACAGAAAAATCAGCCAGAGGCCGCACACAAGTGAGAAGTAAAAAAAATCCCCCAAACCCCTCACTCATGTGTCTGAGGAGAAAGACACTAAGACATCCCCCACATTCCCCTCCCACACCAGAGCTTAGGGGGGCGGGCCCAGCCTAGTAGATTTTGTGTGATCCAGACCTGTGGTGGGACAGTGGGGGGTGGAACTGAAGTGCCTGAGCCTCGGGGGCTAGATCCAGGCAAGCTGGGGGCTGCATCCGGCCCCTCGGTCTGAGATTCCCCATCCCTGCTTTAAAGTGTTATACTTATGAGTGGTCTATCATCCAAACGGTTACTCACATTGCTCAGAAAATCAGCGTATCTCATGGAGGTGCAGGGCAGCTTTAGTGTGTCAAAGTTGAGGTAATTTCATTTGGAGGGTCTTGAGATACAGGCTTCTCAATTACCGTTTCCTTCCATTGGCTCCTACTGTTAAACAGCGAGGTACTAATGACTAGATGAATCACACACCTAATTGAGATTATTGAGGTGGATGGCTGTATACTCAACCTTCAATTAACGTTATTGAACACCCACCTAAGGCAAAGGGGGAATATCTGGAGAGTGCTATAATTTGTGAGTCAGAGGTGGCGATTTTATTTTGGTTTCGAGGAGGAGTTGCTCTTTTGGGAGGGTCTGAGGACTTCTCCCTGCTGCCTGTGCGAGCCAGGACCTGAGGCAGTCCTGTCTGTTTGGATGGAGAGCTGAGAACTGGAAGGAGAGACCAGTAAAAACCACATCACAGGGATTTTCTTACCCTGGGGTGACATCTACTGCAGAGAGAAATGAGCAATGCTTACTACTCCTGCAGGAGAGGTTGACCTCCCCCTCATTCATCTGGCACCTGAGTCTGGGAGCAGGGGCCCTGGAAGTCCAGGAAGCCTGGACTGCCAAGTTGGCAGGAGCCTCTGCTGTTGGGAGCTAGGGCCTCTGTGTCTGCAGCCATTGGGATAAAGATGTTCATATGCCTGAGATCAGCTCTCACAACCTAGAGCCTGGGAGATACCTTGGTACTAGCCCCACCCCAGTGGATAGGATAGGAGGGAAGTGACAATAAAACAATTAGAGCTACAATGCAAAGATTAGAAGGTGTTTGAAATAGACTTTGCAAGAAGCTTGAGACCTAACTGGTCCATAAAAGGCTATTAGCCAGGGAATAGAAAT